GACTTATCAGTGTTTTCTTCCCATAAAATTGACAAAATTCTCAGACTTATCAGTGTTTTCTTCCCTTAAAATTGACAAAATTCTCACCATATATTCTTCAATTGTGACAGAGAAAAACAAACACGTACTTCCCATTAATGAGTTAAAAATATTACTTCTTGGTACTAGGTTTTATAAGTTAGTTCTTGTTTTGTACTTCAAAAAATTGTAAACAAAAACTAGTGCGCGTAAGCTTCAAAACCATCGATTTAAGACGTTTGATGAATCAGTAGTTAGATACAGTTGTAATTAGTTATAGTTATTGAAATAAATTAATCTGTCAGACTTCCGTATCAAATTAAACACGTCGTCATTGATTTAGTTGAGAAAAATCAGTGTATGAAAGTGTATCAAATTATCACTCAAAACATTTACATAAAAGACATGAAAGTGTATATAACATTTTAATCAAGCAATTATCATACAGTGATATTAGAAACATTAAAAGGTTAACTTGGGTTTTGAATTGTTGTTGTTCACCGTAGAATAAAAAGCTAAAAGATTTAATCTATAATTTACAAGTTTTTTCAAAGTTAGAGTTAGAAATGTATTATTTTTCAGTGCCCTTTAGAGCCAATTGTAAAAATGTTAAAAACTGATCATGGTTTAGAGCTGTAGGTAGCTTTTTAAAAAAAAAACTGCCTTCCAAATAACTAGGTACGAAGAAGTGTAACCTACACCAAAAACATAAAAACCAACAGAAGCAGGAGTTTTTCAGTTATAAATAGGACAAATTTTTTAACGAAAACAACATAACAGGGATATGGCAATAATCAAATTTCATGTTTTACTTTTTAAACTGGATCATGTGACAACTGTATACAATGGTGAACGACTTGACTGATTGTCACCAAACCTGGCATATAACCTTAGAAAACCCTGGGAGATGTTGGATCTGACACCCCATGTCACCCCGAGAAGCCCTATGTCTTCTCTGTGAATGAGTAGGCCACTTAATATAGTCTAAAATGAAAACACACACTCACACGTGATCTAGAAGTGAACAATAAAACATTTGGATTACTTTAAGTAGTTGGATATAAATACAATATGAAATGTAATTTCAAGACTTTTTGGGTTCTAAACCACAAAATGTTTTTAATCAGAAGAAGTTTATATGTATAGGTAGAACATCACATATGTACACTGAAGTTACTGAACTGAACATAGGCTCGCCAGTTAGACACAAGTTTAAAAATAAATTATGGAAAATACCTTATTCAATGGAACATTAATATTGAAACCTTTTCCAGAACCTTCTCCCACATAGTCAAAATTAGATTCTCGAAGTTCTGGCCAAAAAGCACCATGCTCATAGAGATGGATTGAAAAATACAGAACCCTAAAATAATTTAAGAAATTATTAGATACAGGAAATTATAACCTCTAGAACTGGAAGTTGTAAGTGTTAACAAAAAACAACATCATATAATTAATTTCCTGCGATAGACATAGATACTTTTAGCACAATTTTCAGCTGCCTTAATATTTACAAAACATTTAATAAAAATGAAGTACAGGATGAACCAATTGTTAATAGTCTTGATGAAACAAAGTATTCTTCTCAGTAAAGATCTGATCATTAAATATTTACGTTCAGAACTCCACTATCACTACAATTCATTCACCAAGCAACACTATCTCATGGATGAATTACAATACTTGAATCAAAAACAAAAATAAACAAATAATGGAAAACTTATTGTGAGAGTTTAAGATTTGTAGTGCAGAATAGAGAATTGGATTCGTTAAAAATATAATTGGTTTTATTTAAGCCATTATGGCTTCATCGGAGAGCAATAAACAAGACATTTGCTAAGTGTCTCATTTTCCCAGACTAAGCCGTAATGGAGAAATATTGGCTTAAATAAAACCAATTATATTTTTCTGGGTAGTACATTGGATTTTTAATGAATACAAAACTCACTTCTGTTCAAAATTTATCTGCAGGTTATAAACAAGTGAAATTAAAATTCCTACAGACAGTAATTAAGAGGATGTCATTTTGTTGTAATGCGTATTCTCCTTAAATGTGAAAATAAATATGGAAAATATCAAATTACGTCAACTATCAACAAACTATGTTGGCTAAACAGGCTTGATAATACATGAATCAAAACTCCCTCAGACTTCTAATAAAATATTATTCACTTCCTTGTTATTTAGAAACAAACATAAGATAGATGAATCATTATTTTCATCCATGATGGCACATTTATCTAAGAATAAACTTGGTACACATCTTTACTAAGAAAGTTTTTCAATCTACGCTATTATTTCTGCCGAGATATTTCAGCACCCTAATATACTTATAAACGTAGATTCATTAATATAGACTCCAAATGTTGATGAAATTAACTAACAAAAGAAGTTTATGTAAAATTTTACTTAACAAAAGTTAGAAGATTAACTTTTCACACGAGATGTTTTGATTCAAAAAGGGATTTTAATACAAGTATCATCGATACGAAACGTATGGTAAACTTGTTTATATCTCTGGATATAACAACTATATTAAAATCCTTCGTTTCACAAAGAAACGTTGCATGATAATTTCATAAAAGAGGCTTAGGTTAAAAAAGTTACCACTATTGGTAGTGCAGCATCTATGTAAAATATATTTAATTTGTTTAAAGAACATTTTAAAAGAAAAAGTTATAACAAATATAATCCTATCTTGCATATACATTATATTACACGTTTTGCTAAAACCCGTTACAGAGTTTAATATAGTCAAGTGTTAAACAAAACAGACTACAGCTTTCTATGTGTATTTGATGAATCCTTAACACAAAAAATGTGAGTAAAAATCAGTTGTTCGTGTTTATATTGACATTATTCTGTGATGTCATACTTTCTAAAACAATGACTCCTGAAAGAGTTATAGTATTTTGGCACTTGTGTATAAAGTTAAAATCATAAATAATATTCAACGTTAAACGTTACAACGGCATCCTCATGTAGAGTCGTCAACTTTTTGAAGGCCATAGATA